CCAAAATTATTTTCTAATATGGATATTTTTTGTCAGAAGCTGGAACATTTCTTTTTATGCCGTCAAGAAGAGTTTTAAAATTTTTAATTTTTAAATACCTACGATTCAGTTTCTTTTGAAGGACATGAATTTTACGTCTTAATTCTTCTTTAGTTGGTGAAACCATAACCCACTGAATATATTTGTAATCACTTTTAACCTGTTCACATAAAATACAATTTCATATAAATTATAATTAATTTATGAATGTACATGTACATACTATTTGCTTGGACGAGCTAGTTGTTTCCTCTCCATTATCAATATCTTCACATAAAAATTCAGTATTTTGAGACAGTTGTATTCTAGGTTATTTATTTAAAAATATATTCTTTCAATTTGAGGCTGGGTGTTAACAAATGATAGATAATAAACTTACATGATTTGGAATATTTCGTTGTAATAAACGTCGTTTAACAGGCAATGATTTTTTATTTGCACCAGGTCGAATTTGATAATCTGAAGCGACAAAATGTTTACTGCAAAGAAAACTGTATTTTGTAGGTAAAATATTTTTCCTCTAGTTTCTTTAATCCATTTTTGTAAACCATCGGTACGTTTTAATGGAAATCTATAATCGTGGCTTATTAAATGTTATTTAAAGTAAATTACCAACCGATGAAATTGTATATTGTAGCCCTTTAAATTGCCTATTAGTACAACCAAATGCAGCACATGAAATAACTATATTTGATATATTATTATTAATTAATATAATATTATAATTTATATATTGATTAATATAATATTATAATTTATATATTAATTAATATAATATTATAATTTATAAATATTTGATAAATTTAAAGAAAAAATAACAAAAATTACAGTTCTTAAGTCTAAATAAAAAACAAAAATATGCTTAATACGTATGCCTTACTATGTTATCATTATTTTTTTGCCGTACGTTGGTGGGGATAACATTTTAACCAGCTGACCGTTTTTTGATGTCTAGCTCGCTCTCCAATATTCGGGGTTTCATCGATTCCGCCAAACCTTTTTATACTTGGGTATAAGGCTTATCGATTCCGCCAGGGAAAAAATAATCTTATATTAATTTATATTAAAATTCAATAGTGACTTATTTTGTAGATACCTATATTATTATTATTATTATTATAAAATTTTATTTATTTAGCTATATTGTATTATTTTATATATATATTAATTCACATTTCATTAGTTTGGCATCCATCATACTATAAAAATATCATTGTATAACTTAAAACTATATTTGACTAAATTAATTGTATTATTTTATATATATATATATATATTGTATTGTATTAATTACTATACTAATTATTAATTTTAATTTTAATATTTAAATTAATTATTGAATGATTTTTTAGATTTATTATTATTATTATTATAACAGAAACAGGTTGAGAGCAGCAGTTGCCTGGTCGAGGCAGAAATTGGTAGGTGGCGGAATCGATAGATTGTTTTTAGACTACCTGAACTGGCGGAATCGATAGGTCCGCCCAATATTCTTATCTATCTCGATGTCATGGACTTAGATATAGCCACAGATATATAAAAATACTAGATAGACGACTCCCTATTAATACAATGTAAAAATGATGAAGCCTACAAATTGGCCGAGATTCTCTTATCTAAGAGGTGAATGTTTACAAAATATCATATATCAGCACAGATATACATACATATCTGTGTATAACAGTGTTGTGAAAATATAAACATTAACCTCTTAGATAAGAGAATTTCGGCCATTTTGTGGGCTTCAAAATCATTTCCAAGTCGGCTATCTAGTATTTTTATATATCTGTGGATATAGCCGTGATTGTACGTCGTTTTGCTGATTTATACTCAGTATTACCAACACTAATTCAATAATTATATTGTACATTAATATTGTCTTCGGCCGAGCCAAGATGTAGAGAAGATAAGGTAATACCACTCGTAAATATTCCAGATGTCAATTTGGACTGGCAGTTTGACAGTACCGCGGGAGCGCGATAGGTAGCGCCACTATTCGGCCGGAGGCCTGTTTTTCCTTTTTGTTGCACGTAAAATCATGAGGTTTATATAGGATTTAGGATTTTCTTTATAAAATAATAAAAGATTTTGAAGTTAAAACTTACCAAGTGTTGAACCTGACTCACTGACTATAAATAGTTTTATAAATTATATTTCAATATGTTTATGTCAATGGTAAGAACTATTTTCTATAATTAAAATAATGGAGTATTAATACCTTCTATTTACATTTCACTAATATTTATATTTATATTTTTTCAGCCTGGAGTCATGCTCCTTGTATAATTATTAAAATAATGAAAAACTAACAATTATTAAGTAAGTATAAATAATTTTCTAAAAATAAAACTATAATGTGTAGGTAAAATGTAGTATTATAAAATCTCGAACTCAACCAAAGAAATGCTGTAATTATTCATGGTAATGTAAGTTTCTAGCTATAATATTATCAAGATTTTATCTTGTATTCTACATTTATTATTACCTATCCTGATTCATTCGTCTCGTTAAAAAATATTTAAACCCAAATTCATGTGATAAGTATTCTACTAATTCAAGTGCTCTTTTAACTGTAACCCGTAAACCTGTGATTGTTGATGCTGTAAACTTTTTTTAAGCACTTATTTTCATATCATCAAGTTGGTCAAGATGGGATAAAAAATCTTGAAGAACCCTAGACATGTATGATATTTTTTATTTTTTATAAACTTACCTTTTCAACAGTTTTATATTGTAATTTTTTCTTTTTTTTTATAGTCTATAAAAGTAATATAATTTGTTGAGAAAGTCGAGGAGTAGCACCTCCGGAACAACTGCAGTTTACTTCCCACGCGTTTTTTCAATTCCCCCCCCCCTAAATTTCTGTTTTAAAGCACTGAATACAAAAGTATAATTACAAAATACTCGCAAATCATTATTTTGGAAGTCATACCAAAGAAACTATAAAATAGTAATTTTTCAAAAATACGTGTGATATCTACGATAAAAACATTAAAAAACTACATTTTGATTTATTTTTTGAATTGCATGTTTTTATGATGGATGGAATTATGCATAAAGATTTTAACTATCGTACTTGCTTTTTAAAAATTCAAATAATTGAAATCAAAAATGTTTTTTAATTTTGTCAATATTACATTATAAATCTTCGTCATTTTAATCCATTCCAGAAGACGCTTCATCATCACTTAACAATAAATTATTTTCTTTTATTGCTTTTGAGTCATACAGCTCACCAGCAAGTTAAAAAAATTCCGTCAGGTGGATCAATATTTAGTATACGGCACCCTTTCAGAAACATAAACTTAGATTAGTATCCACCATAAAACCGTTTTTTGTGACAAAATTGAGAAAGCGAAGCTTTGGCGTGATGCCACATTCCCTCAATATTATTTGTGTGAGCTCCTGTTTCCTGATTTTTGAATTGAATAGACTGATTCACCTTTAACCCTTTCATTCCTGAGACTAAAAAAAATTAAAAAAGTGAATTTTTTTTTCATAGACTTTTTTTTATATGCATGAAATATTCGTTATATTTTTGTCAAAACTTTTTAACCACCCCTCGCCCCCTTTTTTTGGTCGGGACTTAGATGTCCCGACAGGATTCTATGAATGTAAATTAAAATACACTTTTTTTTGTGAAACTCGTATTTGTATACTATTTTATTGAGAGGTTTATGAAACACATCTAGGTATAACACATGTTTATTTTCTTTTTTTTTAGATTCCAAGCTGGTCGATAATGTAGGTATATACAAGTGTTGGTAGTACGACGACGTGTGGCTTCTTTCCACGTCTATTGTCGCGTTTTGGAGCAGTAGTAAAAATGTTTCAATCTTCGATTTTTATCAAACTTTATAAGAACAACGATATATAGCCGAGACGATGAGACGATTAGTGATAGCTTTGATTGACATTACACTATTGTTCTGTAGAGTGGNTCTATTGGCACCGTAGACCACCCAATGAATTCCTCTAAAAAAATTCAAAATATTTGTGTTTATCATTACCTATTTTTAAAATTTAATTTTATTATTGAAGTACCTGTTTCCTAATCTAACATCTTTTGTATTGGATAACTGTTTTCCTCTGCGAGTTGTTGGGGTTTTAGGAGCTGCTCTTTTCAAACTGACTGATCTTCTTGATGGTAAACTGCGTAATGTCATAAGACCAAGTGCGATGGATCGACGTACATCCAAAACATCCGTGTCATCGAACATCTCACAGTAAATGACGTAGGTGTTCACAAATGTAATGTCGAGGAGTCCCCAGAATATTCTCAACCACCATTTATTTGATTTCCGATCAACATTGTACAATGACCTATATCTATCCGCTAAATCGACACCTCCCATAAAATTATTGTAGTCTTTTACCACGGGAGGACATTTTGTTGTTAATTTTGAACCGTCCTTCATCGTTCTTAGAACACTTGTAACTTCGTTTCCGTGATAGTTAGATGCGAAATGCACAGTTTTATTATCACGCCACTTGAATACACCAATACCAGAAGTAGAAAAACGACAGTCGTATTCCCCACGTGCAATTGCAGAATCTTTCATCAAATTATTTGGCATTCCTTTCCGATTAGATCTTATGGTGCCACATGCCAACGTCTGTTCTGTCTTCAATCTTTCCAGTAATATTATAGACGTAAAGTAATTATCGAAAAATATAAGTCGGGACTGTTTCCTATATGGCTTGGTTAGCTTTAGCACTATTCTTTCTCCCAGATTGAAATCTTCGAACTCTAGTTCTAGGGCCTCATTTTAGCCTTGATAAATTAAAAAATTTAAAATGTAACCTTTTTGATCGGCAATACACCACAATTTATACCCACGCTTTATAGGTTTCATGGGATTGTATTGTTTTATACTGCTACGTCCTTTAAACTTTATCATTGACTCGTCCACACTGAGCTCGCGTGTTCCATTATATGCTTCAGAAAATGTTTTATTTAACTAATCTATCATTGGACGTAACTTGTAAAGTTTATCTTTATTATTTGCTGGAATCGCGGTATTATCATTTACATGAATATTTGATAAAATTTCACTAAATCTATCTCTGCTCATAACTTCGGAAATTACTTGTAAATGTAGGTCTTTTGCAGTACTCCAGTAGTGTCTATAAGATGGTAACTTATGATATCCCATGCAAAAGTTAATTCCGATAAAGCCCATTAATTCATCTGCAGATAACTTAAGTGTTTTGTTATTTTGTGTTGCATATAAATTACTTTGATCAACTATATGATCAATAATTGGATTTAGAAGTTTTACAAAAATATCTGTCGCACTTTTACAATTCTTGAACATCTCTACATTACAGCTTTTATTTTCATTATATAACGGTAACTCAATAGTGGTTTCGTCTTTCTTTCTCCACTGTCGATTTATTTCAGTTTGAAGTACTGGATCTGGAGTTACCGGTAAATTAGAAAAAATAACTATCGGGTTATTTTGAACATTATTTTCTATAAGTGTAGTAGAAGTTCTTGGTCTTAAAATTCTCATAAGACTAGGATTATCAGCATTAGTAGGAACGTCATTATTATCATTAGAGAACTCAGGGAAATCAAAAACTAGCATGTCATCATTGTTTTCTAATAATTCTAAATCCTTACTACTACTTTCTATGTCCTGGCCAGTTGGTAAAAATAAACGATCAATTATTTCAACCTGGTTTGGGGCTTCTTCGTCCATTTGATCTTCATCTAAGTCGTATTCGTCCTCAGATAGTATGTGATTGTCAGGAATATCCATGGCAACCACTCTTCTACGTCGTTTTCAATAAGTTTATTATTCATTTTTAATAAATGTAAGTGAGTGTGCAATAAAAATAATTAAAAAATACGAATAATAAATAACACGTGGTAAAAATATTTACACGAATATCGTACGATTACTAATACGTGATGGTCACTGAAAAGCTAGACGTAGATAACTGACGGGACAAGCGAGTCCCGTCGATTCAAACACGATTATTTACGAATTAATGATTTATTCCCCACAAATATAAACACGTAATATACACTCGTTATAATCTGAATCGTATTTTTGACTGTATTTACGAAGAAAACGATAAGTGTATTTATAAAATGAAAACAAAACAGCGATAAGATTGAAAAGTGTATAATGCATTACACCTCATGTGTATACGACAATAAATGTTGTATAAATAGATATTATTAAATTTTTTTTTTTTATAACTTATGTCCATGGGACTCAGATGTCCCGTCAGTACGATTGGCTCAATCGGCTTTACTGTTTATTTAATATTAGACGTTTTAGAGCCGGGACTCAAACGTCCCGTCCGTCCTGAAAGGGTTAAGTGAACAAATCCTTTATCTTCCAAACATTGATAACTCTAATAAAACAAATTGACACAATATTACAACTCGACATCACAATATCCCTCGGTGGTACTTGTCAGTCATCGCGACTACCGTAAAAATGATAAAAAAACTGTTTTAAAAACTACCAATAATTAATAATTCACTTAAGGAGGGATATACTCAGACATGCAATTTAAAATATCAATTCTTTGATGAAGTGTGTCAGTGATTTTAGAGTCATAACCATTGATTGTTGACACAATCTTGGTCCAAGTATTTACAGATGCTTTAGGAACACCAAAAAAAGCATATTCACTGTCAAAGCTCTTGCAATTAATAATTGAACATTTTTTTGACATTTTAGAAATTACTGTTATTGATAAAATTCCATAAAATGGACATAAAATGTATTGTGTTACCAACATGTGTTGTCATGATAGAACAAGATTTAAGTTTAGATTATTTTTAGATTCATAATAAATATATGTAGAAACCATTCCCTCTTCTAAGTCCCTTTCTTCCCTCACTACTCCCTGGACACAATCAACTTATACGCAGAATTTCACGCTATACAAATCTTAATAATTTTAATGTTAAACTCAGCTCTATGACTTTAATTTGTTATTTTATTTTATTTTAATATTGAGAATGTTTCAAAATTAAAATATGGGTGTCAAACTCAAATTCGGCTATATAGTTACATAATTTATTTTATAAAATATTTATGTACAAAAAATTACAAATTCAGTGACAAATTATAATTCATAATATAAGCCTATGTAAAATATAAATGCATTGGAACAATATATATTTAATGAGTGGGTAGGTGTTAAATGCCTTTCATACTTTATAGACAGTAGTCTCGTTAGTAGTTCATGGTATTCGCCACCAGGGTTCAGCGCAGTCCGTTAATTTCCCCCACCATAAAATGTCCGTAACAAAAACTGGTCACATTTCTGTCAACCGATTACCTTGTCGTTTCCAGTCCATAGTATCTTAGTTCTTGCATGAAACTTACCTTCTCATAAATCATTACATTATTATTTTTTTTTTCTTTAATTATTACCATTTATCAGCTACGATACGGGCCACGAAATTGTGCGGATTATTGCAGTGCGCCATGTGGCCATTTATCGTTTTTGGTGGGTAGAGTGGGTAGACTGTTGATGGAACAAATGTCAATGCCCACGGTTTTGTAGAAAAATCGACTTACGACGCGCTGTAGTCATACGCACGTTTTCGTGGCTCGTACTACTAGGTTCCTAGTTTTTACGTAGAAGGTTATATTATGACTAGTTATAAATTAGTCATTTACATATACTAAAAAATCATTAATACTTAACCTTTGTTATGAACTTAATGTAATTAACTGTAATTAACTTACTAAGCGAAGAATCATGTACATGTTATAACAACTATCAAAAAAAACTTTTTTTTTAAATTTAAAAATTGTTTACTTTTTTTACATTCAGTAATGCCATAAATATTTCAATATTGTTGTAGGTACCCTTAAATTAATTGTTACTAGTGATGGGAGCTTGGTAAATTTACCCGGTAAGGTAAATTTACGTACATTTTACCGATATTTTTTTTACCCGGTAAATATTTTTTACCGTTCTAAAAATAGAGTGACCACTTATTTCAAATGTTTTCATGTGAACATTAACACTAGTAACATTTCTATGAGGTTAATGTTATCGGTAGACCGTAGTCGATACGTCAATATAATTAATATTACGAGAATTTGGTAAAACCAGTTCAAATTATCACCATTCGTCCATTCCCCGAACGTAGTATACAAAACACAAGTACACTGTACACTATAAATAACTTACCAACCACAGCGACCGTTCACTCTGCGTATACGTATACCTAATTATATTTATATAATGATTTATAGTATGTGATTATTGATTAATGATAACGATAAGTGATAACTGATTGCTTGCTTCATTATTTGTGTTGTTAGTTCTCATTGTTCAAAATATTTTATATTATAATTTCTAATGTACTAAAATAATGAAGCCTAAAGAAATCAAAAAAAGGTGCTACACAAAAGTAGAAATTGAAGGAAAAGAAAGATACTTGAGGTTAAGTGTGGACTGCCAGTGGTAGTATTGGTTAGCTGAATTATAAACATGTTATTAAGTTCATAATACACTAATAAAAAAAAATACTATTAAAAAAATTTACGTAAATTTACCAAAAAAAATTTTACGGTAAAATTCCCATCTCTAATTGTTACCAGACATTTTCTAGGTCTTTTGTTTCAAGCCTTCTTGGGTTCACAGACTACTATATTTTATCACATGACTTGTAAAATATTTACCTATATCAAAATATCATAATCATGATAAAAAAAAATCAATAACATTTATACTGCTCAAATTAACAAATTTTATAAGTTAATTGTATTTCACATATACAGACACACACGGTATAATTATTTTATAAATTATCGCATTATGGTTAGATGGTAACTACCTATTATAAAATAAATAAATACATAAATATATTTTAATCATAAAGAATAATGAAAAAAATATATAGGTAATATGGATTACATATTTAGACTACATGGTATTTACATTGTATTGATATAAGTATGAAATATTGTTCCTATTACATTTTTACTTAATTAAATAATGGTAGGTACTTAATATATTATGTTTGGTTCAAGTAATAATTTAATAATTAATATTAACACTACCTAGCTCTTATTATGTCACAATAGGTATAATAGAAAATTACCTTTTAATAAATAAAATGCCTAGCTATTATAATATTAAGTATTTAGATGGTACATTGGTACCTATTACTAAATTATTCTTTATAAATTATTTCTATGTGTCTATGTGTATAACTGTAAAAGTGAAGTTAAGCAAACCCGTAGGCGTAATCTGGGGTAAATTTTCTTGGGAGGGGGCAAACTGTGGTAAAACTAATAAACTAATAAGGTAAATAAATGACACTATTTCAGTATTTCCCACTCAGTTAAATATCTGAGCTAGCAGTTTTGACCCCCCCCCCCTTAGATTATGCCTATGAGTATATATATCAATGATAATCAACTAAAAGACTCCCAAATATAATAGTCAGTCTGCACAAATTGATACCATAACTGCATAAGTATAACATTAGTTTGCAGTGAACCAATGTTATACGTCAATTTTGTGCAGACTGACTATTACATTTGCGAGTCTGTTAGTTAATTATCATTTATATTGTAATGGTCTGTATAGGTACTGAAATAATAACAGTATAATATTGTTACATTTGTTACATTTTATGTACCTACTTACCTACATAAATTACACACTTTAATCCAGCAAAAAATAAACATACACTAAACTTTTCACTTCCATCCAAAATATTATTTATTATTAAAATGACACACTACTGTCAAGTTCAACATTAATTTTAATATTTTATCAAGACTAGGAAACTCAAAGCTGGTTGGTGAGCCAGTACCAGTGGCGGTTATACATGCTGTTTTCGAGGGGGGGGGGGGGAAAATAAAAACAACCCTCACCCCATAGCATTTATATATATATATGTAGTATATATGTTACGGGTGAAGTACAAAAACGGTTAGTGTACATATTACCCGGGTAATTTGAACCTCATCCATACGAACAGTGTAATGTATACATCATAGAAAAGAGATTAAATAGAAAGGCGACTCCTGTAGGACGTTTTGATATGACCATTGATGCAAACGCTCCACGTGGTTGTCTTACCAACTAAAACCTTAACTATCGATAGTAGATAGAAATCGATAAAATTGTGTATCGATACCATTATTTATCGATTATCGAATGAACCGATTTTTATTTTAAATTTACCATTCATTTTTTCAAATTTTTCATTAAAAAAAAAATCTTTTAGCGTAAAATTATATTTATTCTAATATTTTAAAATAACATAAAAACAAAATATTTTTTTTTACAATTTTAAAAATTATTATTAAATAATATTAACTATACATATTATAAAACAAATGTTTTTTTTTACAAAATTTGAAAATATTATTTACAAAATTAACTATACATAATTTACATTTTGTCTTAATAATACATTTTTCTTTTTTGCATATTTATCGTGGTATACCATAGCATTATTTTTTATTTCATCAGATGTTACAGATTTTTCACCTTTAGTCAGTATTCTATTTATGTGAGTTATATAAGAATAAATTAGAAGATTAGTAACAGTCTTCAAAAATATATTAAATAAATCATGTTCTGGACAAGTGAAATAATTAGATGGTATAAAATATGAAATTAAATAGTTATAAGACGCCTTAGAGTTACACTTGTATACAAACTTATCAAAATTGAGATTAAACATTTCTATTAAATAATTAAAAATATCCATTGCCACATCATTTGGATAACTCAAGTTACAGTTGTCATATTGACGAGTTTCTATCACAATATGTTCTTTTAATACTTCGTCAGATGTTATAGTTTTCATGCAACAATTACAATTTTTTGTGAGCTTTTTAATTTTTTTGATGACCCAACCAGTAACATAGGCTCTACTATTTGAATTCAGTGTATGATGAGGTCAAAATTCTTGAACGGGAGTCTTCAAAGTAATTGAATTGAATTCATCATCCAATAAATTAGTGTCATCAATCGGAATGTCATTGAATATAAACTCCTTCAAGTTGTCTAAAGCTCCATCACAGTCGTCATTTTCGCAGTTGGACCCAAATGAATGGTTTGAAGTAAAATTATTAATAACTAGTGCCTTGAATGAGGTGATAAAATTGGCACACGTTGGTTTAATATTACGTACACCATGGCTCCTGATCGAACCAAAAAAGTTTTCAATTGGATCCTGGTTAAAATTTCTTAATAGTACGTATTTGAACCCATCATTAAGAAGCCTTTTGCAAAGTACTTGTAATCCTTTAATTGTTTTAATCCAGTTTACAACAGAAGGAATTACTTTTTTGGTTTTTGTCTCATACTGCATACTTTGTAAAACAATTAAAGCTTTACGCCAGAAGTCCCAATGTACAGAATTTAACGTAACCGCACTTCGCAATTCTTTTCCAGCAACTGGTTTGATTGTATTACCATTGGCACTATCGAATAAGTTATCTATGAATAAACACAAGTGTCCGGTATCTTCTACAGTAGATTGAACTTTTTTCTCTAGACTCTGATTGTTTGATGTATTTAACAATACAGGCAACCTTTTCATAATGGCACCGACTCTTTGACTAAACACTTGAGCAGCACATGCAACTTTCATTTTTTTCATTTTTTGAGGATAAATATGGTTATCTGTAAGCTTTGGGGCTAGACGATCCCCTCCAGTACTTTGGTTCTTGTCCAGTTCATAAAATTCAATGACATGTTTCCATGATGCAATCATCTGCTTATCATCATATGTGAAATTAAGATCTTTTGAAACTAAATTATTTCTTAGACCTTTCAACAAATGTGGTACATCATAGAGAGGTATAATTTCTTGAGTTCCTATTTCAAAACCAAATCTTTTAACTTCTTTATCTTCTGTTGTATACTGCTCATTTGTTTCTTTAAGTAATCGGTTAATTGCTGCAACATTTGTAGGAGCTTGATCACAAATGGTAGATACTACTTTAAGTCCTGTTGATTGAACTGCTTTAATGACTTCTTTGATAATTGTTGATAAATTTGTACTGTTCATGTTACCATTAGTCAAATAAAACGCAACTGGTTGCTTGAATTTTTTTCGTGATCCTCTGACCATAAAAACCAAAGCTTTATCTGCAAAATCGGATGATCGATTTTGACCACCAAAATCTTTAAACCCAATCACTTTATCATATTGTTCTAGATACTGCAATGACGCCGAAAGTGATATTTCATCAAAAACCACTGAACAATAGCGATCAAGTTTATGTTTTATTTTCCGTACAGCAGTCTTGAGATGTTCAAAAATTCGTTTATTTATACCAGCTTCAAATGGAATCTTCTTTAACAAATCCAAAATGCATTTCCGCGAAGGCAATGCAAACATTTTTGAGAGTACTTTGTATGCTTTACCACTTTGTTTGTAAAGAGATAAAGCAAATACTTTGTCATCGGTAGTAAAACGTCGACCACGAGGCTTTTGAGCTTGCATACGTATTTGTGATTGAATAAAATTTTGTGTAAATGTATTTAATTTACCCATTGATTTTATATTTGTTTGCATATATCTTTCAGCTTTTAAAATACGTTGTTTTGCATTTAAAGAACGTTGTTGCAAAACTGAATTTCTTTGCCTGTATCTTAGAGAAGTATGATACAGCAATGACTTCCGAGGAGTTAGATCATTAACACGAGTTGTGTTTATTTCCTCTAAGGTACCTTTGGCATTACTGAACAAATTTTTAGGTTTCATTGGTATTTCACTGCAATTTGAAGTAGTTACATCATTGTGAATTATAATTGTTGAAGTTGACGGGTCTGGAGTTTCAGTAACTGACATATCGGTAATGTTACAATGTTCATAAGTTGGTGCATCATTGTCCATTACAGCTGTTGAATTAAACGGGTCTGAAGTTTCAGTAACTGACATATCGGTACTGTTACAATGTTCATAAGTTGGTGCATCATTATCCATTACAGCTGTTGAATTAAAGGGATCTGCAGTTATAGAAACTGACATATTGCAAGAATCTAAAACAAATAATTATAAAACAACATTAGTAATTAATTAATTAATTCAAAAAAATAATAATTCATAGGCATGCTTTTGTATATATTTCAAACTATTGATAATTTTAAATTACATAAATGTATAGTTATTTTCAAAACATACTAGGTACCTACAACATTTAGTTTAATTAATTAAGCATGCTTTTGTATATATTTCAAACTACTGATAATTTTAAATTACATAAATGTATAGTTATTTTCAAAACATACTAGGTACCTATAACATTTAGTTAAATTAATTAAGCATGCTTTTGTATATATTTCAAACTACTGATAATTTTGATAATAATTATAACCATTTATAGTTTATAATACTTACTTAATTAAATTTCAAGTAAAATATATATGAGACCACTTGAACATCAACGAAGAGATTTTAAAATAACAACAAAAAGATCTTAAAACAATGTTTTAAGAAATTGTTTGATGTGAAGAATCAATAAAAATTATTTCTATAGAACATAAATAAATAATATCACATTAATTATATACTACAATTATCCACAGGCGTTCTCCTTGAATATTAATTGCATATAGTTAAAAATTCTGCAAGTAAACAAATAACAGGGCAACGAGGGGTAAACACCTTTGGGGTAATCAGTGTACAAGGTGATGGTAATCATAGGGGTAATCATAGGTAATCATAGGTAATCATAGGTAATCTTTGTAGTGAATCATGGGTAATCATAGGTATAATCATTGAAATCAGTAATCTGGTGTACAAAACTTCTGTCAGGTATTTACCCCTCACAGGGCAGTATCACCTCTGGATGTGTGATTTCTATAATAATACAATTTAATTAAGTTTTTACCTGGTAGATTAAGTGTTGGAATTGAACCAACAATGAGTTTCTTAAAACCAGGGCTCTTACAACTATCATCAAAATGTTTATCACACATAACATAAGATTTAACAATTTGTTCAATAGTTTTGTTCAATAGTTTATTATTTCCAGTTCTTTCAACCCATATGTTACAAGTTTCCTTGTTCTTCGGAAAGCGATGTCGAAGAATACTTTTATTGTCGTGCGTAGTATCACATCCAATGACCATACACCGATTTGAAGGCATATTTGAAATTAGTTAAGGTGGACAGCACGAAGGAGCAAAAATCGAAACTCGAGACACGGGACACTGGACAGCACGAAGGAGCGAAAATGTGTTAAAATTTAAAAATTTAAAATGTGTTCGTGTCGTTCGCGATATCGGAACTATTTGGGAGGGAATACTGTTGTGATAGCTCACCAATAATTATTACCCAATATCAGTGACGCCTATGTCTGGGAAATTTGGGAATTTTATTAGGTTGGTACGTCGAGTGTCTTAAAAGTATATATCAGACCCGCCGTATAGAGTTACACACCCCTGGTATACATTATCCACCTTAAATATGTAGTATCCAATCAATTTATACATTATCCGGTGTGCTGTGGATAATGTATTCGTATAACTATAATCGTTAAATTATAACTTCGGTACAACATGACCAACGCATCAAACACTTAAAATGGTACAGATTATACAGTCTTTCTAGTAGCAAAAACCAAATTATACTACATAATTCAAAAAAAAATTATTTATTATTATTACTTACTATTAAACTATAAATTATATATTTGAAAGCGAAATACAATTATTTATTAGAACAATTTGAGTTTGGATGACATTTAGAATTACAAAGTACTCCCCCGGATTTGCATTTACATTTATTTGTTAAGCATTTAATTTTACATAAACACTTCTTAAAACCTTGACCACCGGAAAAAGATTGTTCATTAGCTATTTCACGCAAAGATTTTTTTGTGGCTAAAACTTCTAAAATATCTATTAATGGTTCAGAGCATACAGTGAATTGATTTCTGGAATAACGTTGATGAATTATTATTTATTACCATATTTATTACCGAGTTCGTAATATTGATTATCACTTATAGACACAACCGCAAAGAGTACATTCTGTGGATCACCCTTACTTCTGTCTACTTCTGGTAGTTTGACTCTAACTGTGTCGCCAACATTGCATGGTGGGAATTTGTTGATGGATCTGAACTTCATTTTTTTTGCTTGTTGCTCAAGCGATAATTTTGAATTGCTTCTCTCATTTTTTATGGTGTTCTGAAACATTTTTAATAAAAAAAAATAAATAACATTTTTTCCTAAATAAAACTTGTTTTGTAATAATTACTTTTTTATCACATAAACCACAAATAGATGTTTGTTCATTACCAAGAATACAGCCACACGATTCACAGCAATTAGATACAGTACTATCCTGTTAAGAAAAAAAAGTGATTAAATCTGGTATAACGACCATATATTGCCAACAATTTACCTCTTTATCGGAAACACTATGATTTTCTCTTTGTTCATATTTTGTTTGTCAAGACATGCTGAAAGGCGAGGGGTCAAAATTTCTCTTCTTGCTCGTTTTCTAACAGAAGTACTTGAAGATGGAATATTTAATTCAATTTCAGGTTCTTCAATTATTGTTTCTTCAAACTCTGATGTGTCAGAATCAAATTCATTCAAAATATTTGCTAAAATAAAAATAATTTATATTTATAAATAATATATATTCTAAAATGTATGTAATAACGATTTTATACAAATATTGATTACCAGTTTTTAAATATCCAGAATTTTGTTGTATATTTTTTCTTTTATATTCTGCGTCTTCCCTTGTGGCTTTACGTTGTTCCTTTTCAGCTAATTTTATATCTCTACCAAGCATACATCCTACACGTCCTTTTTGTCGTTGTAATAATAAAAATTCTTTATCTTCGTCAATTTTAATTGTGTTTATTGCATTTGAATGTGCGATGTCAAATAAATCATCCAATGTTTCTTCAAATTGTTTTTCTCTCAGTCGATATAAATTTCCAATTTTAGTTTTATTTTTTTCTAAACTTCTTAAGTCTTCATACAACTTTTTCAACTTTTTTGCACAATTATCACGATCTTGATTTGGAATCCGTGCCTAGTAGTATGTGTTTGGGGAGTTTGGCTCCATTTTTACAGGGAGATGAAAAAAAATCAAGGGAACAAATTCCCCTTACAGTGCATCCAATCTCCCTGTAATTTCAAAACAAAA